GACACTAAAGGGCACAAACAAGTTGTCAGCCATACTTCCATGCATTTAAAACTATAGCGAAAAGTATAAAAGCCACAACTCCCCAGTTTGTAACATCAAGGAACCTACTAAGCCAGGCACAACCTGGCTTAATTATACAAGGTTCTTACTTGTCTTGCCAACTGGACTACTTAAACCCCATCACAAGCTCAGTCGACTGTGGTAAGGCTTATATTAGCATATTATTTAAGGTGCAAAACGGCATTCGATCAAGTGCCACATGGTAGAGTTTTGACGAATCTAGCAGCGTGTGGGTTGCTGAACCTCTACTTTCTTGGTTCTCGTCACGTCTTAGCGACAGAACACAAGTATTCATGGTGGGAATCACCCATCCCGTCACAACCCTGTGAAAAGTGACGTCATTCAAGGCAGCGTTCTGGGACTACTTCTCTTCCTGATGTATATAAATGACATATTTGACATGATTGTCTATGGAAGGGCCTAATTTTTGCGGATGATAGGCAAAGGCATGCGTATTTGATCCCAGGAACAAAGAGTCCTTAGTTCGAAAAATACGAATTACTCTGGATGAATTTAAGGGGTGGTGTTACACTTCAAGAATGAGTATCTTCATCGGAAAGAGTAAAACAATCTCACACAAATGTGATGTGAATGTCCAAACCCTAACTAATTTCAGTAAATCCCTGGCACGTAGTAATCAAACACGAGACTTGGAGCTCCACGATTCCGACAGACATAACTTTCCTCACCACATACAATACACCGTCGCTAAAGTCAAGAAGACAAATGAATTGTTTCTCAAACCCATTACGCTAATAAATGCTGAAATTACACTCTACAAGACTTTTAAACGCCCAATGTTAGAGTACTTCTATATGGTATTGTATTGACAGCGACAGCAGAACGCGTTCAGCGTGCATTTACAAACCAGATCACGGGTTGCACTTAGAGGTTAACATCCTCGGAACGCTGAACATTACATATAGTAGACCCTATATAACGGCGTAGAAGACATTTAAACTTATGGATGCTTGTCGGTGTAATTAATGGGTGCATTCGTACACCCGGCTACTCTCTTACCTTACATTACCATAAAAGTTACCTTATCCGGTGCATACATGCGATTGTAAATTCGCGCAACCCAATATGCGTGCAAACTATTTACTCCTTAAATATGCCTTGATTTGGAATCTTCTCTCACTGTTCATTAGATCATGTATTTCACCTCACTTGTCCCATGTACATATTGATATATTACTTAACGTTCCAAAAGCTATGCAACAATCCAATATAAATATTCCTGAAACAGAGTTTTATCTGAATGGACCAAATCGCATGTTACTTCCCTGATACTTCTCGGTCGTACAGTAAAAATCTTTGCTGTTACTGTAGAAGACGAAAAAGAGAGAAGACCGAATTGCTATGTCAATTTTTCCAAAAGACCTCATATTCACCCCTTACCCAAGTATCCCAAACTCAAGGTCTCCATATTCATATGATGGCTGAAGTGGGTGTTAACGCGAGTCTTCTTTTTCATTCTTCTGACCAATGTTAAATTCTTTACTTACTTGGCCACATCCGCCAAAATGATTTATGTCCACATGTAATTTAACGATGGAAAGTAAACCGAGTCATTTTCACTCCTTGGACCCTTGTTATATCCTCTCGTTAACCGGTCGTGACTATCTTAAGGCCTTCATTTGCACATGGAAGCCTATGAGGAAGGCGAACCGGGTACTCATTCTCCTGTACCGGATGACTGTTAAATCACACCTTTTCAGTTGTTCTACAAAGAGCCATAGTTGCTATTGGTGACTCTGTAACATGTAGGCCTACACGCGCATCAAGCAACTACTAAGGATGTATGTGCTACGTACACAGATTGGAGCCTAATTAAACCAGTGTTTGGGTAGCACTTGCGTTACGGATCACAAAATATTAGCAGGCCCACCGACGAGCAATTGGAATAAAGTCTTGATCAATTCTAGTGAATGACCATCACGCACGATATAATTAGCTAACATTTATGTCTACTATACCTATGTTTACTCATTGTATGCGGCGGAAAACAGCACTGGAACTTGTAGCATAATTTCTCCACAATAGTTCAGATGTATTAAAACTGATATAACCTAAACTGCCTTCTCAACACTATTCTATTTTCCAACTTGTCCCTTCCACCGAGACTCGTACAACTACTACGAAGAGCTTTACCTATATGGCAGATTGCTTGTCGTCTTAATTCCATACCAACAACACTGGTGTATTTTTCACTCTAAATAATGAAACAACAATCACTAGCTCAATCTTCGTCCGACTATAGCGCTTCGGCCGGAAATTCGTTACCTGGTTCTCCGTTGCAAATTTACATTTCACCATAATCCGACTAATTGCCAATATAGGAATGACATGAAATTGCTAATTGCAATGTCTTTGCAAAATGCAAGCTAACATACGTGTGATTGATACTAGACATTTTAAGAGTCTGCCTGATTACTTTAAAAACAGGTGCTCCAACAAACTATGATCTTGCGTACATTTTGCATTTAAATGAATAATCAACACATTTATGATCCCCTGATTTGATCGAACTAGCAACCTGGGTATTGTCTCCTACAGTCGAGAAATAAGGAAACTATTTAGTTATTCATTTATGTCTTCATGAATGTCACCGCTTTTGCCTACGTTCCAATCGAAATCTGGTCACGAATCAAAATCGGAGCTCAAGATCAACCGCATCTTTTATCAATTTTGCCAATTCTGCTTTATTTCGTTTGGCTTTCTTCTATATTGTTTAGCCTTCACCTATATAATGTGCTCCATGTTCACCTTATATCGGTTTATAATTATGTTATATCCTCAGCGGTAACCAGTTCCCTCTGCATCACCAGGATGCACATAGGTAATACATGCATAAATGTTAGCCTTTCGCTTGCTTTTTCTCAGACTTCTACCCTTGGGTCACTTGAACAGATTTGTAGTTGCAATAAGTGTACGTCCGTTATGCTTTTCATTAATCTGCAAACATATTGTTTGAATAACCAAATATACCATTTAGCTTCTACTAAGCCGCATATATTTATGGTCTGTCATCTTGTAATCAGTATTTGCATATGTCTTCGTCACATTCAGGACAATGCACTCTGAAGAAATGATTAGCAAAGCAAGTGATATTGATTTATTTTACTGACTTCAACTGGGACAATCTAGCCAGAATAATACGATAAGATACGCAGTACTATAAAGAAAGTTCACTTTGGCCGATTCCAAATGGATTATGATAGAGGAAAGAACACAACTGCCATCAATGTTCCGCATCAATAGACCATGGAAGCTCACCATTGAATTTAAGTGATGCTATAAGCACTTCATCAAATACAATTGCAGCACCCTATCCGTTTTCATTTATCGATCAATTATACTGTGCAGTTTCAGTTAATCGCGGCTGCACCATCTGTATGTTGGCAAGCAAGTTTCAAGACAAATGCATGTCGAATGATAAAGAGGCATGCAATATGTGGAGCAAAGCTTTGATCAGTTTCGTTCGCTGAAGCTCACCTCACATCCTTCAATAAATGTCACATACACATGCTGTGCCGGACACATAATTCGGAATGGCTGTTAATATTCTTGTAGTATTTTATATAAAATTGACCAAACCAAATACAAGCAGCGACTGCGATTAAATGACAGGACACAAATTTTGTTTGAAACATGATTCCATGCAATACATAAAATAAATGAAAATGTTCGTAGCTGAGTGCCAGGCTCCGTGAGGTTGTAACACGGAGAGATAAAAAGCTTATAATTCTCAAGTTTTCAGCTTAAGGCATAACTCCCTGCCGCTGTAATAAGCAACAGATTTGTGGTCGCCATATATAGCATTTTTGAACCGGCTGAAAATAAATGGGCAGAAGGAGTTCAAACAATTTGAAATAAATAAGTGAAAAAGTAACATGCCATGAATGTTGAAGGAATACTGGGTTTTTAAACCAACACAAATCAGCTTACAATGTTTTTCTTAGAATGGTCGTGAGGTCCTAAAAACGTATTGATAACTAGAACTTTGGTTAAATTATCCGTATGTAAAACTCGCAGGTTAATAAACGTGCTTCATCACACTGCTCATGTACTGAGATTAGAGATGCTTCGGCGGCTTTACTAAACTGATGTAAGTGTTGTTGAAAGGTGTGGTTGATTCCCGAAATTTTGTCGGTCACATTGTTGCGTTAACCATGAGATTCGTTTGGCCATCTGTCCACTGGATTTTGTGCTTTCATTTATTAGTATCTGTCTTTTTATTTTCTTGTTCATTACCCTTGTTGGATGAGATGATCTAGATCAATGAGTACGTTTACTTGAATATTTAAATACTATTCTGATATCCCGACTCTCTGTGGGCGCGTGATAAAATCGTGTATTACATTGGCTCATACGTTACCAAGAACAAAATGGTATAAAGGCACTCAAATTAAGAAGCTAATGAGTAGCAGGATATTGGAACGGTTTAGCTAGTAATTCAGCACAACCAGTCGTAGTAAGCCAGTCATCACACCGTACGGCCTTTTAATCCCTTCGGGAATTGTCAGCATTGCACGCCCCAACTAAACCCTGCGCGACTCGAACCCAGAACTCGACTGCTGCCGGACTATGGTTGGGGCCACTGGATTGTGAAACATTTCAGATAATAAGTTAGACATCACCTGAAATCCAATTAAAATCGTACGTCCATTGCCCATTTTCAGCAAATGCAACAATACCCAATCAATTTCTGTCACGGGACAACTAATCTTTTATGTGTTACGCCACTAGAGGGCAAAACTTGCACATTTATATCTCCTCGGCTACTTATGTTTTGCTAATAACAAATATTATCAGTTATATTAACTCTGTGGTGTTCTGTTTAACTATTCAAATTAACTCAGCTGTTAATACGACAAGATACGGTAACTGAGAATTGAACGAAGTAGCTTGCATAAATTCATCAATAATTGTTATTCTTAACTTGGTAATGGAACTGAAGGAACCCCTCTCATTTCTGAGATAACATCAATAAAGTTGGTAGAAATCTCTTCACGATTGCAGTGGATAAAAGTGACGGCCCAACCTAAATTGAAAGTTTGGGTGAAAATCAGCTTAGTAAAACCAGCAGCGTCATCTACCATGGGGCAGTCTGCGGTTAATATGGAAACCAAAAACTGTATACATTGAGGGAAATCCAGTGGGGGATAAGCCAAGGGCTTTCACATACTGATTTCAACACATATTTTGGGCTACCGTTCACAATGCTTCAAGTAACTTTGCAACCTTTTTTCTGGCGTAGGAAGCTAAGCGTTAGTTCTGTCATAAAATTGTTTAAGATTTTCCTGTAGTGAATAAATTAAAACAGAACTCACCTTTCGATGTAGTGTCAGAGGGCGCAGACACTAGAAAGGCACGGGTAAATACGCAAAGTAGCTTCGCGTTACTAAAGGGTATAGATAACCAGCGAATATTACACGCGGTCCAGATAATGTTACTCTTTGTTTCCACAACGGTGAATTACTGTTTATTTGTAATAGCTTAGCTCACTTACGACCCTCCACTTGTAGTGCTTCAATGTGTGGTAAAACAACACAAAAGTACTTTTACCCTGAAATGATTTATGATATTTTACCGGGCAATTACTGCAATGCGTACTTGGAACTCATCGTAAAATATTAACATGTGGCTAGGCTCGACAAAGCATAAAATTACTATGGAAGTTATTCTTACCTAACATCAACAGCATAATAACTACGACGCCGAAGTAATAGTCTCCGTAATGTCAGACGTTCCTTTGTATAACCTAATCAATTTAAGACAAGAACACGAACCCTATCACATGCATCCTTATAAGGTACCCGTAAGAATATTCTCAGAACTTACCGCTGCAATAACTGGCCTCAAACAAATCTTCTGGGTCCCCACTTAATGCAGCATATATGACCATCATTGTATTTGATGTAGAATTCAGTAAAACGAGGCGGTTTCCTGAATCGCCGTATACGAAATGGACAACTGGTGCACCACAATCGCTTCCATCCAAAAGACGTAACCAGTTCCCTGGGTAGCTTATCTGGAAAAAATGCAACATGTCTCCCCTGAGATCCTGGAGCAAACCGGATATGAAAACACAATTTCAACTACGGTTAAGATGTCGGCTCATTTAACTTATTGCATTAGAATTTGGTAGTTTACTGCTGTGCCAATAGCTCTACGTTCCAACATCCGCAAACCTATGCAGTTTGCCTAGTTGAAAATTGATTTTTGATGTAAGGAATTTGTGGGATAATGCATGCTGCACTGCCGTATACTGGTTGTAGAGTGGCGAGGTAATACGAATTTATCAATAAGTTACTAACGACGTACATATAAATCCGTTAGGTTGAAAGCAATCGTTTTGCCAGAATCGACCGATATCTTCCAGATGCATAGATAGTTACGTCCTTCTTCTCCTTGATACGACAGATTTCCAGAGTTTCCTTTTATGTCTTCCCCACATTGTACTGCAATGGACGCGTTGAAGAATCAATACACGACGCATGTCGATCTATTCAAGCTAATGTGTACGTGTTTGTGGCCGTGTGTAATACACTAACTGATACTTGTTTGTTCTTTGGATGTATTAGATCCAAGTTTTAAGAACGCTGGTGCTTTAACAGTACAAACTCGGTAAAAGGCACATGATAAGCCATGACACTCCGAACAAAAGGACCATTCTGCCAAAATGATTAAGCTGTAAGCATGAGACGCATAGGTACTATGGTGGGGATAACAAAAAACAAAGTTTAGAAATTCCACATCGAAATTATGCATAACAGAGAACTACCGGAGGGCGCCGTTCCTATTGTAGATCAATTTACGAACATCTGTTTATACTGCTGTAAGACCATCTGCGAATACGGAACTCACTCAATATTTTATTTTCCGCTACAGAGTAACATAAAAGCACATGGTTAGAAAGTATCTCGAATGATAACATAAATGTTGCACAACGAGTTAAAAGCGCTGTCCTTCCCACTGAACACAAAACTCCTCCATACATCCCACCACTGCTTTTATCCAGTTGTGCGCTCGCAACCATTATAGAGGGAATTACTTCCAGTGAAGTATTTCCCACAAACAGTAATTATTTGCCCGTCTGGAAACACAATACGCTCCACAGCGCAACTAAACGAAATTTCTGTCAGATGCATTGCCTCTCGGAGTCTACTTAGCCCCTCTGCCAATTGCAGGTGTCCTTGGCAAACAAGGAGTGAAACCCAAGGTAATTTACAACACCTTCCATCGAAAATAAAACAAATGCTAAATTAGTTAGCCGAGAAATATACTTTCTACAAAGCCATACTAACATAGACAAGTCAATCACCGCCATAAGCATAAACATCGAAAGCCGGTGCATCTAGAGGCGGAAGCCATCATTTCGACCAGTAGATTAAGAGGTCAATAATAATAAAATAGTGTACTAATTAGCGAAGTGTATCTATGCTTGCCAATCAATGCAGAAGATGACTAACACGCACTTAGAAATAAAGTTGTTCTATGAGACTTTGTGTATCAGTACATACGCTTACAGATGATTATGCTAGAGAGAAAACACGTGTGCGCCGCATTAGCATAATTAGTTTCAAGATAATTGGTCAAGTTGTGTGGATCAAATTTAATGCATTATGAAATACCAACATAAAACCATACACCATCAACTAATGTCGACTTCCACATGTATGCAGGTAATCATGCATGAGGTTAGTATGCTATGCTTTCAGTGGAGTTTAATAGACTAAAACGTTTGATCAGAAAATTGAACTTGTAAGTTAATGCAAACTTTAGAGAATGAATGAACTCACGAAAAGGCGGAACCGGTTTTGTTGGAGCTATGGTGCAAAGAGATAGATTTTGTAATGGTTTCAGAAGCGCAAAACGCGTATACTGGAAATGAGACAATTAGCGTGTATTGGGTCTTCTTGTCTGAATTCAACCAATCTGCCTTTTATCGGCTTGCGATGCAAATATCGTTTACTTTTTAAAGTTGTCCATGTTAGAAAAGGTGTTAAATTATACATTCCTTAAGCACGCTACCCGATACTGTGCGTCAATCCGAAATTCATGGATAAAGCTACTTACCTACTCCGCTCACTGGAAATGGAAATAAAAGAACAAAGCAATTAGGTGAGCATATACACGTAAAAATACCCAAATACGACCTGTTTATGTGGAATCATTAATCTCTGGAAATGGTGGTGTCTTGCCGATGGAGACACGATGTTATCTGATTGTTCGCAGATGCAAGTTATATTTGAGTTAGCAAAGCAGTAGAGAGTATCAGACACCCTTATGTTTGCTCGTACCTGTGTGGGTCAATCAGTTTGACAAACGTGCGAATGCTTTTGTAGTGTTGTTTTTTCCCCGCAAGCTACCCTAAGTTGAACTCATTATTCTACTCATTTAACTCGTATATTGAATGCAACGTCTACCTGTACGGTACAACAAAGTACAGGTAAACACAGTGAATAATATGCTGTGAAAAGATATTGTTATGCCATATGAAATTCAGTATTATTATATTTTTATTAGAACATAACAAACCGTACTTCTTTTTCAACTGTCCAGACGTTGCAATATGCAGTGCAAAGTTGGGATAGAGCAGATCCGCAACTCTGCGCTTTGGCTGCGGTCCAGGCATTCCAAATGGCAACGTGTTTTGGAAACGTTTCGATGTTGCTCCTACCAATACTGGCACACCCGACCGCGGTTTTGTCTTTGCATGGACTCATCAGATGACGATGACCTGAGGTCGGATGGAACTTAGTGGCTGGTAGTACACGGCTGATGCCACGAACACTATGTTATTGAGATCTACGAGCAACGCCTGACACAGCAATAAGGAATTTAAAATTGAAATTTTGGAACCCACTGTGTGGTTGGGTTTCGACACGCAACCTATGATGAGACCTCGGTTCGCTTTGAGGTAGACCTGGGTCATTCCGATCGCAAGGACCGTATCTGAAATGGAAATGTTTCGATGTTGCTCCTTGCAACACTAGCATACCACGACCGCAACGCGTTTCTCTAAATTAACCCGTCTAAATGCGAATGTCTAAATCCAGATACATGAGGTATACACCAAACCCAACGAATGACCGATGGATTTAGGTTACAACGCAGACGACATATCCTTCCGTGACCGGCGGTATTCAACAACCTCATTGTAGATATGACAAATTTGTCAATAAACTACAACTAAACTACAGAGCAACTACTGCTACAAGGTCAGTTATTGACACATTTAAGGGCGCTTGATCTGATTTCATTCTAACTATAAAAGTGATTTGAATGTTGCGTTACATCTGTGCTAAACAAGAGCAGGAGATCGCAGAATACTGAGTAGATGCGAAAGCACGAGCATCATGTGTACGGTTCAGCCTTCTGAACAAAAAGCATGCAAGTATATGAAGTAATATGTGTTTTCAAAACGCTGAGGGCCAACATTCAACTTCCTTTTGCCCCGTCAGTTACACTTGGTTGTCGAATTGATAAAGCTTTACTTCGATGTGAATCACGGTCTAGATTAATATTGCGCGTCACATATGAATCACGCAACCTGTACTGCAAAATTGTCCTCCAGTCAGTGTACATACCTGCTGTAAATTTGGCGGCAAATGGGCCAAATTGAGCGTTGATATCTGAGGTGAAGAGCGCGACCATGCTATTGCTACTGGAAATGTAGGTTGGGGTGCTGATATTCACCACGGCGGCGATTCTCTTGGACATGCAGTCGACACCGTCGAATAACACAATGAAGTCGACCAGAGAAGTATTCCATTTCTCCAACTGTGGGAGAGGAAGAAAATAAATAATTTTAGTTAAAAGAATTTGGTCAACTTAATTGTTGTACACGGCGTGATGGTCTATGGACAATCAATTATTTTAGTGCTTATGCTTAAGCTCAGCAGGGTTGTTCTGAATACTTGAGCTGGAATTGCGGGACGTTGTCATTTGTCCAGTTAGCTAGTATAGACTACCACATCTAATCCATTCTCGTAAGCCAAATGAGTTTTTCTCACCACCGCCATACATAATATAAACCTCTTTTCTAACTCTTGTTTGCTTTTTGACATACGCATGACTCGAAGTCAAACGTTCAGATCACAGTCCAGCTGTATATGTTTGACAATGTTTGAACAATGAATCGGTGGTGAACATCCAATGCATAAGGCTTACCTCGGGCTCAAGGACAGTTAGGATACTGGCGACAACCGTGCAGTACATTCAGAAGTAAGATTCAGTATATAAACGTAGTCATCAAAACGCTTTGGAGTTAATGACCGGGAGGACCAACCAGAATGTGTCCGGTTGATTTTATGCTTATGCATGGTTTGGAAATTGCGCAATCCGCCTTTACATATTTTCTACTCGTAGCACATGGTTACTAACTATTGTATGCAACATGATTGATATGTTTTATCATATATGCGCAATATTTGTAAAAGCTGCCTTCTGCCTATTGGCCTTTTATTTAATGATGATGGATCTAAAATCGGTGTAATGCATCACACATACAAAGAAGATCAATTAGTTAGTCAACACCTGCTTCGAAAAACGCAATGTTCGAATCCTTCCTTCTCCAAACACGTGCATATTATGACGTGGCTTAAATGCTAGCACATAAAAAATCTGATTATACTTCACTGAACCAATAAGATTTCCGGAGAAAATGAGGTTATTCGCTTATTTATTAGGGATATTCACAGTAAATGAAAAATATCGCACAATTCATTTTTTTATTTAAACAAATGGGTTCAAGTGTCCCAAATAAAATAAGGTACTTACGTCAACTTCGGTGAATGTTAGGTTGACTTGACTGTTGGACGGAAGTTGGATAGCATAATTGCAGAATTCCGATGATTTATACTCTTGTGGATATCCTGGGCTGAGCACTTGACCACTTTCTTTTCCGCTGAAAGTCTGACTGCAGGTAGCATCGCGCGAAAGCGCTAAAACACACAGCACAAGTACAATTAAAAGGTTAACATTATGACGACGTTACAGCAGTACTAATGATTTCAATATAATTTCAGATACAGAACGTAAAATATTTGCAATGAGACAACAAGCATGCTAGTGGCTGTTCATGCTATAATCTCATATAAGATCATGGTGCTAGTTAGAAGGAGTTAGCATGAGAGCAAACTGACACGAGTGCTTTATTTCAAAGACAGTTGTATATCTCATCAATTCAGATAGAGCTTAAATCATGAAATTATTTCGTATTAGAATCGTCATTTGCTGCGTTTGAAGCCACACTGTAATTCCTCAAATGAATAAATGGATTTTTCTACCACCTCCGAGAAAATATTCACCGTACATTTGCACAGATTAACTACATTAGTAGTGAAGTCCGAACTTCTTGCTTCAAACTTTTGCTGATGCAGAACAGTTGAGGTCATTCACTTACCAGTTTAGCATTTAGGAGAATCAGCTTCTTCTTTCCACCTAACTCAGGTGAAGGCTTGAAATATATCTGAGACATTGGATCTCTCAAAGACTAGTTAATGCTACATATAAACGAAGTCACAGTAGTTAGTGGTGTGACATTGTGAACCAAAGGACTCAACGCCTGAACGTAGAATCTGAGGTGCCGGTATCACGAGTGGATCTGTCACCAGCGTTGCTCTTCCTGTTGCTTGCTTGAGAGATCTAAATTTCTGAATCCACCGACGAAAACTTTACTTAGAACGTACCTTCTAAAGCGAATCCAAATGGTCGATCGTTATGCCACATTTCATCCTATACTGTGCCTTCCATCTCTGCATTTTAAAAGATACGGCTTAGCACGAGTGCGATACCGTGCCATGCTTGAAGCACTTGACCAGGTGTGACAAAGTTCTGACAAATATTTGAACTGTGGTTTAAAGCTACGTGCAGTTGAGATGATCTGCCTCCTCATTGACTTCAAGATAGTTATCTCCATTTATCTGAAATCGTAAGGAACTAGTTGCGAACGTTTCTGTGAGGCTGGGTAACTAGTGCTGCTGCTTATGATGGCCATAATAACTTGAAAGATAGTAGGCGAGTCAAACGCTGCGTTCGGTCTTTTAAATTGTCTGTGAAACCTAACTTGACATGCTACTCTTGCAAAATAATTGATTTGAATTAGGACTAGGTGGGAGCCTAGGTGTCTGTTTACTGTTACCTTTAAAATACAACTTGCTTCACAACGAAGCAAACAGATTCACAAGTTATTGATGAGCAGAATTTTCATGTACTTGGTACACTGATCTCGACTATGATGATAATAGAAAATTGAAGTGCAGAAAACAATATGCCATTAAACTTTGCGTATGTACAAACAGCCACTCGCAAATTTAATGTAATAAAGACCACCTTAATTCTGGTGTAAACCCACAAGGTTCATTGTAAATATTCACTGCCTATTCGGTAATGAAACAGGTTAAAGTTGGAATAGCTGCCACCACACGCTACATACCTTTGTTAACGTTGTTGATTCCAGGCACAACTAGAGACATCCAGCCTAGACTACTATATTTATGTTACAACCAAAATATTCTTGTTCGCATAGTCATCATTTTTATCTGATTATCTGAGTGTAACATGGGTTTGGACAATCCACTCCATCTATTTCTAATACCTTAAGTACAGACGTTATAACGAAAACCGTTGGGCGGCATTACTATTGTTTAATGCATCTGGACTGACATAGGCTTGCAGGGTTGACCGTAAAAATCAGCAGGTTGCCTGAACACATAGGAGGACCCCAGCGGCATAGGGATCAGATGCAGGTAGGCTTCGGCTACTAATAAGTGAATACAGCCGCAACAATTACACCACCCAGATGATGTAATTTTATGGAGATAAATTTATCAGGCCCACACACTAAACTCAGCATTCCTACACAACACCGCAATGAATAAGCGTCACCTTTCCACTACCACCACCACCGCCACCTTCCGATGAGCAGCTGTCTACCAGTTATTGGCTACGTTGAACACAAACGAGACGAATTGAGCCACTGAAGCGACATCATTCAGTTTGTACTAAACGTAATTTAAACGCAAACTTGAGAAATAACCGAAGACTATATGTGCCAATTGAAACCCACGGAAAGTTCAAGTGCCGAACGTTACCCGACATAACACACGCTAAGACGTTACACTTCTCTATCACAAATTTACTGGACACTAATTGCGACCATAATGTGTCGCAGGGCGTCTCTCCAGCACAATTTTGACTAATATGCCGTAATCGGGTCATGGGTCAATTAGACAAATTATCCTTACCAACATTTCCTTAAAAATCCTTTAATTTAAAGTGTGGTTATACTCGATGATTTTGAGGGCATCGACATATGTGTGTCGTCAAGAATTATTCTTTAAGATCCCTACAGTCGGTTATCTATGCAACTGAAATTCAGCCGATAACCCGAAGGTCTGGCTCTAATACATCCGAGCAAAATGCTAGAAATTTGAATGAAATGATTTCATACGTTATGGAAACAGACATATTTAACATGTGACGTGAATGTAAAGCAAATCTAACAAGTGTAAGCTGTGTTATATTATAGTTATTTGACAGTTGCTTTTTCATAACCTTACTGCGCCGACCTGTCAGTTACTTCGGAATGCTTTTACTTTCCCATGACCACTATTGATGGTTTCCGTCGAATTTTTCCAACAGTGCTCTAAATTGGTTCGTTCAATGAGTAATTTATTAATTCTTACCCCAATGCATTCAAACTTGCGAACGAGCTGTCAAAATGAAATATTTTAATAACCTGAATGGACACCCTCTCGTTTATCTGATAACATTAGCGGCCTCACTGTTTACTTGAGGCAACTCAATTATGCTCTGTAGCAATGTGCGATCATTCCTTGATTGCATATACTTGGTTGTTTATTAGACGGACAACGTTGCTGTTAGTGGTATCCCCTATCCAACTGCACCTTTTGCCTTTACCATGATGCTATTTCGGTCCATTTGCAACACATTCTACGACCCACTGATGTTTTAAAGAGCAATTTCCGCTTTCAGCCATACTAATAGTTAAAGGTTCACTTTAATCTTAACATATGATATAAAGCGTATTATTAGCGATCATTTGCCTGGAAGAAAGTAGATGTTTGGCGTGATGCATTTCTAAACGACGCAAACAGCTGAAAATCTTTCTCTTTTGACTGTACCACGAAGTGAGTTCTATAAAACCAAGTGAACTATGGCGCCGCTAGTACAACTAGAAAGCGAAAACTTTAAAGTTGATAATTATGTTCGAAAATACTCACCTTGACCATCAATATAGTTAAGTAACATGGTGCATATTACTAGTACGAATGCATAAAAATCAAACCGAGCCGGAATCATCGCACCAAAACTTCAACCTGTCAAATGCTTCAAAACACAAACTATGAGCCTACGACCAGTGTCGTTCAGGTTACACTACTGCGTATTTATAGCGGTTGCCAATGTCCGTGGGTGAGCGGATCCATTTAAGTGAGTATGCACCAAACCTGATGTGTAGAAATGGCAACTTAATCACTGGGTCTTAGAGATCACATGACATAACGAAGTACAGTATGGCGGAAATTGCGTAGGTGTTAAGTACGAGGGCGTTAACGGATTGGGTGTTTCTGTGCAAACCAACTACTACATCTTTAGTAGGTGCACGCAAGCAAAATGAAAACCCCTGGAATTTACCTCAGCAACTACCATAGACCCCTGCTTTTGTATGTCGTTATCAGCAAACTAAATAGAATCATTATATTAGTGTAGCAGCTCCATCTGCGGCCAAGTGCAACAACCATGAGTTGAAGATGTGGGGTAAACCTGACCTGTGCATTTTCGAGCCTGCGTGTAGAAGTATACTTTTCTCAAGTTTATCACCCAGCGTCAGAGTAGACACTAAAGTCTGTGACCACATTATTTAACCACGGAACAAATGGCTGTTGAAAGGAGCTTTGTAGCAAACGCTTCTACCATCCGTGTGACATACATATAACTGCATCTCATCTACTCGAAAATCGATTCACATAAACCGGTAACTGATTTGTTGTTCACTTTAAACTTGCTCCATCTAATACACTCAACTGTCACGGATTAAACTGTGAATGTTTTATCCGTAGTCACTAGACCATATGGAAAATGTGGAGCAGACGAGAGGTTCAAATCAATCCCTCATTAATGCTTACTGCTCGCCTGTCATGCATGATCAGCAACGGAATTTGGTTGCATGCATGGTATTTCAAAAGGAAGCATACATAACTTAAGGGAGCAACTCAGTATTAAACGCTGAATAATGAACATGTACGCCTATAACGTAAAGAAATAAAGTATGTATGGACTCAAATTAATCAATTAATCGAATCAATGCCATCAGTCATTACTCTATGGCTGATTTATTTCTTTTATTTGCGCGCATACTAGTAAAATTACACAGTCCAAGTTAGTAAAAGAAAATCGAAAATATGCGAGCTCGGATGTTAGGGTAACGCACACTTAATACCCCTTTATGACGGTCTCGACTTTTGCCAATAATTATGTCTCATCTGTATTCGTTGCTTACTTGCTAAACATTCAATCTTTGACTCTCCAAGTACTGAGGTTCTAGTACAGTACTCAAATTCTTTAATACACACGAGATTGCACAGGTTTCCACATTTACTTCCTGATGCAGGCAGGTACAAAGATACCTGTATTGCGTTGGCCTCTAAATATAATAGATTTAAGGTCATTTTAAGGTCCTTTCGTAGCTAAATACGAAACAGAGCCCACCGGTCATCTTACAGACCACTGTAAACTGAGAACGGCTGGACTAGAGTGAGCTTCAACACTCAACCTCGGTTGATTGGACAGTACCCGACTGAACAGTTACAATGATACAATGGAGCAATAAATTTAAACAAACAAATAACTTATATATTTACCAACAACCGGTATAGACAGCATTTAAATACAAATGCTTAACCGTTTTCCTTAGGTAAATAGCGAGATAAAATGGATGTAAATAAGCATAAACCCTAAAAATCGCTCGACAATGAATGTCTGGACGGTGCACTATTACTGATGTCAGTTGCGAAAAGCGAGACGATAAATTACGACAAGTTACCAGTTAGGTGAACCGGGATTAAAATGTGTATTCCTCTGTTCAATATCTAAAGCGAAACAGATCATTTCGGCACTTTTAAGCTCACCAACCAAATCAGCTCGAGTAGAAATTGTCTTTCGGTAATTTGTTTGCGACTAGCATGCAACCGCTTGGGAGAGAAATACCCAATAAATTACTGCATATTGCCGAGTATCGGGTCCTTTTGAAGAAATGGTTCGATTTGCTTGCAAAATTGCTGTATTTCACCGTGTTTTCTGTTAGGCAACTCTCAATTTCCATCTACTCATTAATCAAACTACTGTGCTGTCACAAACGTAGATGCCACGACTTTAATCACTCAAAACTTATAAGTATTCATCCATCAACAATTTCCAATCCAAGCCGAAAAGAAATGAGGAAGTACCAACAACATTTTTTGTCAAACCAAATGTCACAGTCACATAATAACTATCCAGCCCCCAACGATATTCAACCAAGTACAGTGTGCTTTGCGAATAATACATGTAGAGTCAATACAGGCAACCCCTTTAAGAGAACATTGGTACACTTATTAACGACAAGGCAGCCGTCAATCTTTTTTCATTCCACTGATACGGTAAGCGTTGACGGTTCCGCAGGTATCGATGGGTTAAGCCAGTTGTCTGTTCAGTGCGTTGTGTATGTAGTTGTATATACACAATACAATGTAGCAGTACCTTGATCTCTAAACCCAAGAATGATTCACTGACATTTCTGAATCCTGCTGCCTCGTAGGTTAGATATTTGATCAAACTCTCGGGGTAGGGCTCCCTCTAAGACAACCGTAAACTTCGGCCTGGGGAACCGGATAGTATCACGCTCACTGATGAATCATGGACTACAATGCTTACTACTGCTCCTGTTATGCTTCCCATCTATGCTACATCAACCGCTCAGCTTCCATTCACAGATCATCCTACCTAATGTCCTTCACTTATATGTACTCTTTTGTCTTCTTTGGTCACCGCCACAAACGACCCACGTCTGACACCTGAGGGAAGTAACAACTAAACTCCCTATTTTAATTATCCTGCGATCTCAACCGTCTCCCACTTCATCGAAGCTCCAGCTCTTCTTCGACGTGATTCTCCATTCATCCTTGCAGCATTAATGTTCGAACTTTGATGCAGTTCGGAAGACCAGCATGTCTGGCCCGTACTCTTGAAACGCTCTAGATAAACAACTGTTGATATTCAGAGACCAAAGTACGAGTCACTAGTGCCTAAACCTTGACGCCAATATCACTTGCGGATTTCCAGTGACACATAAGCTGCCGCCTCTGGCCAAGCTGGTGTTGGAGATTTTCCGCCATGTGTATCATAGGCCAGTGATTGCTGTGTTTCTGGTTATCCGTGCAGCCTTCGATTCTGTTGATCGGATAGTACTGTGGCACTGTTACTGAGGAATTGTGTCCCCGAGAAGTTCGTTTCCATACTGCCCACTCTCTATGGTCTGATTTTGAGCAGGACTTATGGCATGGTTTCGCCTACCTTTGGGGTCTCCAGTGGAGTTCGAAAAGGATACCCTATCTTTCTGTTCCTATTCAACCTTGCCGTTGAGGATGTCTTAAGAACGCTCTGGGCGATTCGTCAAACGCTGGTGTTGAGCTCCTCCCGGGTAGTCGAGTTGTTGATTTGGATTATGCTGATGATACCATCTTGTAGAGTGACGATCCACACGTCATCCAACTGGCATTAAACTGATTGATGATTGAAGCATCAAAGTTTGTTATGTACTTTTTGCCATCCAAATGCAAGGCTCTCCTTCGAAACTGGCAGGTGCCTCTGCCTGCACTCACGCTTGCTGGTGAGACACTAGAGGTTGTGGAGAGCTTTGTCTACTTGGGAAGTTGCATCACTGCTGGCGGGGCTGTTGGAGACGAGATTTCGATGCGCATCTCGAGAGCAGGTCTCGCTTTTTCTAGGCTGAGGCATTTGTGGCGTCGCCACGACATTCGTCTCCCCATCAAAGGGCGGGTCTATTGTGCAACTGCTCGTGCTGTACTGTTGTACGGATGTGAGACCTGGGCTATTCGTAAAGATGACTTGCGCAGCCTTCCGTCTTCGAGCACCGCTGTCTGCGGTTCGTCACCTGTGTGTGGTGGCGGCACCACGTAAGAAATGTGGAAGTTAGACAGCATGTCTTGGGACGAGGAAGACACTATCTCGAGGACTTCGTCTCACTAAATCAAGTGCTGTAGTTGGGACAAGTATTACGCATGCTTGTCCAGCGTTACCAGTGTCATAGTTTGTTTGCGGTTGCTAGACAAAGCTGAAAGTGTGGGTCTGGTGGAAGCCTGCAACTTAGAGAAGCCGCACGAAAAAGCAGACAAAACAATTGACCTCGGCCGGTTGTTGTCGACTGCCAGTTTGAGGTCCGAGAGATGCGGATACTTGCTGGTTGAAGACTTTGGAAGCCGTGGCTCAAGATCGATGTTAGTGGCGGACATGTACATTGTTGCCTTACTAGGTCCCTCCTTCAACCACCTAAGAACAAACAGAAACATAGTTCAAAAATTTGCGTTACAATCTAGAACAAATGCTTTTGTTTTGTTATTATTTTCATATTATTCATGCTCTTTTCCTCTTCAGGCATGACTCCAATGTCACAAGATCTGTACCCCAAATTTTTTATTTTATAAATATATATGTATATATTGATTCACCCATTCTAAGGACACTGGTAAAACGAAAAGCTTCCTTGGGGTTTCGGTTGTGAAAGAAGTGTGAACATGTTAACAGCGCGGCTTCAACCAACGTACAGCTTGGCACCGAGTGCTTAGGCTTATTCTGCCCGCACAATGAACTTTTGACTGCTGTTAAACTGCAACATTTAGCTGTATGGTACACCAAGCCGTGAGCAGGTTGACCTAGGTGATTCGATTTTGCAAAAATCACACTATCTTTCCTGCATAAGGACGCACACGAGACAAACGAAACAGTCGCTAGCATGGATTATTAAAAATGCCTAGCATAAGTCACCGTAAGTCGGCACCGGTGATCTACGATTACATGAGATATAGTCAACTAGTCATGCCGAATCTGTCGCATCATGCACGTAAACTGGAGGCCTCAGCGTTTCGTTGCGAACAGCTCCCTGTGTTTGGCCCAACAACCTAGCGCGAAGAGCCTTCAGGTTTCAGCTCAGGCGTCCTCCTCTACCAGTGCAAACTCACCGACACCAAGTCCAA